AAATTCCCTCCGACACAAGGTGCAGAAGACCCGAGACAGATCTCCACTCACGGGCTTTACCCAACTGTATTTTTCTTCCCACTGTGTGTTGTAAGACACAAGTCCTTTCTTTTTAGAAGGGCCAGGGCCCAGAACCACATCCTCTCTCTCTTCTCCTCTTTCATTATCACCTCCACCGGCAGCGCTCATTTTCCCGCACAACTGAACAGGCTGACATGCCACACACAAACAATGATGCCGCGCCCGCGAAAATCTCACACACACACATGTGCGAGCATTGTGCCTGCCCTGTCAACTGAGCGGTCCTAGCGCCCTTCGCATACAGAACACAAACACACAGGCACGCAGCCAGACACACTGCATTGCGCGCAAACAGAAAAATATTTTTTATTTTTACCTTTACCGGGAATCCGGGACAAACAATGTCCCGTACGGGACATGCCCCTTTTGGTTCAAATACGGGACGTCCCGGCTAATACGGGACGGTTGGCAACCCTATTTATAGCCCAACATTAGCCACCTTTAGCTTAGCGGTGGTGATGTGAAGTCATGTGACCGTGCTGTAGTTCCTTTTATAGCCCAACATTAGCCACCTTTAGCTTAGCGGTGGTGACGTGAAGTCATGTGACCGTGCTGTAGTTCCTTTTATAGCCCAACATTAGCCACCTTTAGCTTAGCGGTGGTGATGTGAAGTCATGTGACCGTGCTGTAGTTCCTTTTATAGCCCAACATTAGCCACCTTTAGCTTAGCGGTGGTGACGTGAAGTTATGTGACTGGGCTGTAGTTCCTTTATAGCCCAACATTAGCCACCTTTAGCTTAGCGGTGGTGACGTGAAGTCATGTGACCGGGCTGTAGTTCCTTTATAGCCCAACATTAGCCACCTTTAGCTTAGCGGTGGTGAAGTAAAGTCATGTGACCGGGCTGTAGTTCCTTTATATCCAACCGTTAACTTTGTAGCTTCAAAATTCCTAAAAGTGCTGTTATATTGTGAAGATATGCCTGCTGAACAAGGCATGATAAATGTTAGCTTGCATCTGATCTTATTGGTTGCAATATTCCAAAATCCAATGAAAACGTCCCATTGCTTCTTGTGCTGGTAACTCACGGGTCGGCTAACAAAACATTTCATCACTCCACCAATCAATGGTGTGTGATCTGACTAAATAGAGGTGGTTTGTAAGTCGCTTGGTATAAAAGTGTCAGCTAAATTAAATGTAAAGTCATGAGAAAGTGCAGAAACTCATCCAAATATGCATGATTGACTCTGTATCACTTCTCCAAATGTCCAGTTATCAATGTGTGAAATTGACCAGAATAATACTAACTTGTCATGGGGGTGAGAATCAGAATTACCCACATCAATAGTGAGACTTTGCCAGATCTTAGCACTAGAGGGCACTAGGGCTATGTCTATATCCACCCATCCACCTGCAGAATATGTGTAAGGGAAGCACATACTTTTCATATGTAGGGTCCTTATCGCTCTCTCCAAATCTCTCTTCCTCCCTCTTCTCACTCACTCTATCTGTAAGATCAGACCGTCATAGTCCGGCTCTCAGGAGCTCTTCAGCCTCGAGAAGGTCAGCCGAAGGAAAACGTCCTCCCTTCTGGCTCCATAAACACACCTGTGACCTTCCAATGTATGTTTATATCAGGTTATATGTGTGTGTGATCCTTTGTGCATGACTGTAGTCAACAGGTCGTGGAAGACCGGAAGCTGTGTGGTTCATAAAAACATTTTATTACTCAATATCAAGCCACGATTATTGTTTTTATTTTGAAATCGTATAATGTTGGACTTTTTTTGCCGTCCGATAGGAAAACAAATGGGGCTCAGAGCCTCAAAATACTGAAATCTGTATTTTCTAAATCTTTTTTTCCTTCTAATTTGTTTTTCTTTTCTAAATAACACACTGTTATTTACTCACCAATAACACACAATTATCCTTGTTTTTATTTATTTGTTTAATTCTATAATCTCAGGCTTTTTTGCCATCCGTCAGGAACTGAATTTCAAAATAAAGTCACCAGAAACAGACGTAGGCGATACACAGCCATTGAACTGATTACCCAAGATCCTCAGCTATGGTTGAAGCTCGGTGATTGGATGTTTTATCAGCAATGCGTTGGGATATGGTGTTAATGCGATATGAAATAACTATCAACAGAATTGGGGTGAAAACAGTATTTCCGGTCTCGAAGTTTTCATAGTAATCTGCAGTACTCATCAACTAAAAACATCAGTTTATCCTTGTTAATTACACAACATTGATTGGTTTTAAATTGTGTACAATGCTTTTGTGTTGTTCCCCTTCGATTCGGAGAAACAAATCATTTTTTTGGGAGTTTAGGATGGATGAAGACACTACACTACCCATAATCCTCAGCTATCGTTTGGGACTACAACATCCGCTTTGCTTGACAAACCCTGTGATTAGTCCTCAAGCTCTGTGATTGGATGTTAGAGTGGCAGTGCGACAAGGTTACGCCGAGCGTCAAGCAGCTCTTTGAAATGAAATGTAACCACGGCAGACTTTCCAAAACTGGACTCGAACGGGTCCAGCCCCCCCCAGAACTACACATGCTGGTGTGTTTCGCAACATGTTCTATGGCACGTCTCTACTGGGAATTGTAGTTTTAAAAGACGTTTTCGTATTTCCCATAATTAGAAGTTGTCAGTATTAAACTGTGTACATCCCTGGAGGTTTAGGGGATACGAAACACAGTGGTGTTATCAAATTTAAAACATATAATTAATAAATGGGTGAAAATTGCTTGTGTCCATAATGGGCAGCATTAGTATACCCACATGACAGCTCAGGTCAGAAGAGCTTTATTTAACAGCTGGTCTTATGTCTGTGACCCCTCCTGTTATTAATTGATAAGCCTGAAACATGCACTTGTCAAGGTTCAGAGGCAGATTTTGCAAATATGGCAGTAGCCATCGATCATCTTAAGATAAGATACTTTATTGATCCCAAGTTGGGAAATGTTTGGAAATGTTTTTGTTACAGCAGCATACTGCTTTGTTCTACTCCACTACAATTCAGAGGTTAACCTGGTATACATTTATACATTTATTTTAGTTACTTTGCAGATTCTGATTAATGATGTGAAATATAAACAACCCTTAAATCAGACTTTAGTTACACCTGAGTCAAATTCAGGGAAGGTGATTGTCAAGTGCCAAAATAAACTATGCAATATATTAGACGTTAAGTACTTTGTCAGACTTCATATTTATCTGTAGATACCCCCAAAGTTTTTTTCATATTCAAAAGAAGACCTTAACTTAAAGTATTCTTTAATGTTTAAATAAAGCCTTATTAGTTTGTCTGTTTTGCACATCCTCCTGTTAATACCTCCAAAACATCTCGAATTAGATGGACATTGTCCACCATGTAGGTTTGGTCCGGAATATGCAGAATATGCTAAACTACAAGTCCCTTTCTATCAGCTGTTCACCGTTATGGGGTAAATAAAGCCTATCTACCAATTGGATCAAATATAAAAGTCAGCAGAATTTCTATTGATACTGCAAGGAGACGTATTGTGTGTCACATATTCAGTTTCGGCGGCAGTTCTTCCAGTTTGTCCAAAGGTCTTCTCATCAGGGCTCTATAAATAAAGAACTACGGCAGATGTTTAATATTTAATGCAGCCGAACCGTGTATTACAATGCCGTTATGTGATGACTTCCAAAGAGAAAAGCAAGTCGGATTTCATATCGCATAAACACCATCTCCCAATGTGCATTGCGGCTAAAACATCCAATCACCGAGCTTCGACCATAGCTGAGGATTTTGGGTAATCAGTTCAGTGGGTGTGAATCGTCTACGTCTGTTTCTGGTGACTTTATTTTGAAATTCAGTTCCTGACGGACGGCAAAAAAGCCCGATATTATAGAATTTATGAAATAAATAAAACAAGGATAATTGTGTGTTATTGTTGAGTAAATAACAGTGTGTTATTTAGAAAAGAAAAACAAATTAGAAGGAAAAAAAGATTTAAAAAATACAGATTTCAGTATTTTGAGGCTCTGAGCCATTTCTTTTCCTCACGGATGGCAAAAAAAGTCCGACATACGATTTAAAATAAAAACAATAATCGTGGCTTGATATTGAGTAATAAGATGTTTTTATGAACCACACAGCTTCCGGTCTTCCAAGACCCGACCGGACAAAAAGACGTGGTGCAAACACGAAACATACTACCAATAGAAATACATTGCTTTTAAAATCGTTCTGTGTGACACAAAAAAAGGGGGAAATCGTGTTTAATCAATAGATTAAATGTCGTGACTATAACACAAAAGGCCATGAGACTGGTTGCACACACACACACACACACACACACACACACACACACACACACACACACACACACACACACACACACACACACACACACACACACACACACACACACACACACACACACACACACACACACACACACACACACACACACACACACACACACACACACACACACACACACACAGCACTACATATGCCAACACAAGCTCCTTTCTCCTCTCTCCTTTGTAAATGAAATCAATAGACGCAGCTATCACATCCCTATTCTGTCACTGCACATCTGTCGCAACAAGATGCAACAAAAGAGCAACATGGTTTTTCTAAAGAGTACACATGACCTGACACAAATTCACACACACACAAACACACATTTACATTCACACATGCACACACACACAACCAGAGACACACATAATAAAATAATGCCTTGAATTACTGCAAGATCAATTGGCTTGTTTCAGTGGGCAATTGTAACTGCTGGAACATTGTGGGTGCCTGTGTGTGTACGTGTGTGTGTTTGTGTGTGTGTGTTCATGTAAAACAAGGAGAAGGATACATTAATAGACACATAAAAAAACATTACAGGTGCCCTCAGCATACTTATTTTCCTTGATGGACACACTTCCACGCGGATGCACGCTCACACACACACACACACATCTCAGCTGTTAAAGGATACACGTCTCCTCTGTGTACGGCACGGGCGCCGTGCTGCCAGCGGTCATGTAGCTGTAGAAGGACACCTCCAGAGTGTAGCAGTAGGACGAGTCATCAAGGAGACCACCGAGGAAACGTCTTCCTGTACCGGCCTTCACCAGGTCCTTGTTGAAGGAAGTGTTGGACTAGAGGAACACACACACAAAAAAGACATTGTGTTGAAATAGTGATAACATTGGAGTGACAGGATTTGGGTTCAAGTTTTTGTGTGAGGAAACATCTTCTCTTAAGGTCCGATTATGCTTTTTGGGGTTTTCCCTTTCCTGTAGTGATGCATAGGTTTTACATCAAGTTGCACACTTGATATAAATAATATCCTGCTCATATTGTGGATATTGTCTTAACAGAAACCCTTCAATCGTGTTTTTATTTGTCAGACAGTTTATAGATTTTTTATCTTCACGGTCATCTGTATATGTGTCTTACTCTCTAATGCATTTCCCAAGTTGGGATTAATAAAGTACATCTTATCTTTTAGTGCATGTCAATGGTCTAAAAAGGCTGGAATCCCTGTTCTCTCGCACACACTCCTGCCTCAATTGGACTTTGGTTCCTTCTCATAGTGAAATCATCATGTGACATTTACGCTTTTTTTGGCTAGCACTCCAACTAATTGTACGTGATTGGCTAAGGGGCGGGACATCTTAAGCCATTGACCAATCACAACAGAGCTAACCAATCAGAGCAGACTGGGCTCTGGCTGTAAAGCAGGGGGGTCAAACTCAATTTCATCACGGGCCACATCAGCATTATGGTTGCACTCAAAGGGCCGGTTGTAACTTTAAGACTATATAAAAATACATATACAAATATTTAATATATAAAATAATGTATTATTACATTATTGCTTCTGCATTGGATTATTATCGGATAGGGTAATAACTTCATAATAACTACGTCTGAAAGCAGAAGTCGAGGGCAAATAATTGCAAGTCTCTTCAGTGAGAACGTCACAAAATGATTTAAAAAGAATCTTTGTGGATCATTTCCCAATAGAGATCATTAGCCCCATCTATGATACGTGACATTAAATACCTTTATGGATCATGAACACTTCACATCTACATTGATATGAGCTTCAAACGTTACTAGTAGTTGGCCACTGTTTACCCTACTGAAACTTTGCAAAACAAAATGTTTTCTTAGGTCCTTCAAAACCAGAATGATAGATGATTTCTTACAGTAAAAAGAAAGGGGAAAACACATTCAGCAAAAACAAATTGCTTTTGGGTTTTTGTGACCTGGCTACACATCACTGTGCTTACAAAAGTCTGCCAAGTTGTACACTTTAGTGCAAATCAGTCGTACTGCCAACTTTGGTAGAATCAGTGTTGGGAAAATCTGTTGATAAATATTAGATAACAAGTTTGCCAAATCAACAGTATTTTTGGAAGGTTTAAAGAAGGTGTGTTGAAACAAATCCAGTCGAGAGAAGCTACATAACATTTAATTGAGTTAAAACACTTCTCTGGAAGGTGAAAAGGTAAGGACATCATTGGAAGTATATACCCATGATTAAAATATATATTTAAAACAACCAAGATCTAAAAAGTGTGTCATACATATGTGGTTTAAAACTACATAAAAAGTACATTTATAGCTTCTGGTAGACAACCAAAAAACTGGCAAATGCACAAAAGTGATTCGTCGACATTGCAGTTGGTGATTGATTGGTTAAAATTAGATTTGGAAATCATTAGAAACATTTTGGATAACCAACTCAACAAAATACATATAGCATTGGTCTATTGTTCTTTCGACATTGTAATGCTGTAACGTTACACATGCCGTGTCTCAGTAACTTTCAGCTGTGTGCCTCTGGAGGATCCAGGACACTCGGTGAAGGGTAACAGCTGCTTATGTGAACAGATTGACTTCAGACAAAGTCATTAAAAAAACTGTAAATGGCTAACACAGGAAAAAAAAGAAGTCTATTCCAGTCTATTTCGGGTTTTTAGCACGTCAGCTATACTACAAAAATATGATGCTGTCTTGGGAAGAGTGTGGAATAAGTTTCTATTCACTGTCACTACACTCTGCTAAAATGCAGACTTGGCGGCCACCAGTGGGAGTTACGCCATGATTGTGTTTTGCTGCTTCACCGCTGGGCTTTAGGTACTGCTGAATGGGCAGAGAGAGAGAGAGAGAGAGAGAGAGGGACACAGAGAGAGAGAGAGAGAGAGGGACAGAGAGAGAGAGAGAGACAGAGAGAGAGAGAGAGAGAGATGACCCCTGGGCCAGCTGTCACACAAGTAATACAGAGAGAAAGGGAGGCAGAGATTTGACCAAAATAGTGTTTTACGCATCCTTCGTATAGCTGCAGACCGTATAGCAGAGATGGCAAAAGTACACACATCCTTTACTCAAGTAGAAGTACAGATACTCGTGTTTAGAAAGTACTCTGGTAAAAGTAAAAGTACTGACTAAACTTCTTTACTCAAGTCAAAGTAAAGAGGCTTTGAAATGTACTTCAGTAAAAAGTACCCATAACTAGCAGCTGCTTTAAAGAGTACCTGACCTCCCTTTATATTAATAGAACAATAATGTCATTGTTAGCTAATGAATGTTTCCATGCTGAACAACGGCAACATGACAACGTTTCCATTGGTCCCTCTTCTTTAGAGAAGACCAGGAAATGATGGATACACGGATCGTGTTCAAATCAATAGGCACGCAATGACTCTAAAGAATAATGATCACGCATCAAACACACATTCAGACTAAAGGAACCAGCTGTTTGGAAAATGAGAGAAGTAGAAAGTACAGGTATTTGTGTTCAACATGTAAGAAGTAGAAAGTACAGGTATTTGAGTTCAACATGTAAGAAGTAGAAAGTACAAGTATTTGAGTTCAACATGTGAGAAGTAGAAAGTACAGGTATTTGAGTTCAACATGTAAGAAGTAGAAAGTACAGGTATTTGAGTTCAACATGTAAGAAGTAGAAAGTACAGGTATTTGTGTTCAACATGTAAGAAGTAGAAAGTACAGGTATTTGAGTTCAACATGTAAGAAGTAGAAAGTTCAGGTATTTGAGTTCAACATGTAAGAAGTAGAAAGTTCAGGTATTTGTGTTCAACATGTAAGAAGTAGAAAGTACAGGTATTTGAGTTCAACATGTAAGAAGTAGAAAGTACAGGTATTTGAGTTCAACATGTAAGAAGTAGAAAGTACAGGTATTTGTGTTCAACATGTAAGAAGTAGAAAGTACAGGTATTTGTGTTCAACATGTAAGAAGTAGAAAGTACAGGTATTTGAGTTCAACATGTAAGAAGTAGAAAGTACAGGTATTTGTGTTCAACATGTAAGAAGTAGAAGTACAGGTATTTGAGTTCAACATGTAAGAAGTAGAAAGTACAGGTATTTGTGTTCAACATGTAAGAAGTAGAAAGTACAGGTATTTGAGTTCAACATGTAAGAAGTATAAAGTACAGGTATTTGAGTTCAACATGTGAAGAAGTAGAAAGTACAGGTATT